TTTATCTGTATTTAGTCTCTATAGATTGATTTATCTGTATTAGTCTCTATAGATTGATTTACAGTATCTGTATTGGTCTCTATAGATCGATTTATCTGTATTGGTCTCTATAGACTGATTTATCTGTATTTAGTCTCTATAGATTGATTTACAGTATCTGTATTGGTCTCTATAGATCGATTTATCTGTATTGGTCTCTATAGATCGATTTATCTGTATTAGTTTTGTAGAGTGCTGAATGAATGCGTGTGAATGGGTAAATAAGGACACAGATTGTAAAGAGCTTTAAGTATCCTGGTAGGATAGAAAGTACAAAGTATATAAGTACAGTCCATTTAGCATTATAAAAGTCCAGCTGCCTTCTATCGGACCACTTAGGACTTCTTTGTGGTCCAGTACAGTTTGGGTTTAGATCAAATCTTTGGACAGAAACTGAAGRGTTGTTCAGTGTTTTTGTTCAGTCTTTCAAAATGATCTTTAGCTAGTTGAGTACAATCAAATTGCACTAAATACAGGTCTGGACCTTCTCAGTCTCCCGTTCTGAGGTGGTCTAGAGATTCCCAACCAGGGGTACACAAGCATATTACAGGGGTACGTGGAAAGATTTCMCAGGCGYGTAAAAAAWAAATAAAAATAGGACTGAGATTTGTAGGGCCCTATGATTTGACTGTAAATCATCAGATAAACCAAACTGGATTCTCTTTCCAAACTTCTCCATCTGTTGAGTTACATCTTAACCAGGTATGATGGAAAAAAACCACACATACAGCATCCTGTCGTTTCCTTTCATTAATACAAGCCCAACACAACACACTAACAATAAGAAGTTRGAGAACCGTCTCATTAAAGCTTTAGTTTAAACAAAGGTGCTGAAACACGCAGGTTGTTTTGGACCTGCAGGCCTGTGTTAGCTGTGATTCATGCAGCTSAGAGAGTGAAGACATGCAGCAGACATGGTGAGTTCATGATGCATCACATTCACTGTCTCCTCCACAAACAYACTCATGAGTTACAGTTATTATCTTCTGCAAAGCAGAACAGTCACAAGAGTTCGTGTTGAAACGTTTAAAGCCTGCCGCAGCATTYCAGTCAGGTGGAAACCAAACCAGCACGATTCTCACGTTCTGTTCTTTCTTTTCTGATACTTTGTCACCATGTYCTGCAGACTGGATGTGACGAGGAGGAAGGAAAAGATAAACAAGAGAAAACAAAACAAAACAAAAAAAAACATCAAATAAAATGGTGTCAAACACAACATAAATCAGTTAWTTACAATCCTGATCCTCAAGACAGATCTTTTCATCAGGTTATGACTAGGATTTTCTTTAGTTGATATACTGGGGTTGGACAATGAAACTAAAACACCTGGTTTTATACCACGATYATTTATTAGTATGGTGTAGGGCCTCCTTKTGCGGCTAATACAGMATCAGTTTGTCTTRGGATTGACATATACAGGTCCGGCACAGTGGTCAGAGGGATTTTAAACCCTTCTTCTTGCAGGATAGTGGCCAGGTCACTACGTGATGCTGGTGGAGGAAAAAGTTTCCTGACTCGCTCCTTCAAAACACCCCAAAGTGACTAAATAACATTTAGATCTGGTGACTGYRCARGCCAWAGGATATGTTCAACTTCACTTTCAYGTTCATCAAACCAATCTTTCACCAGTCYTGCTGTGTGTATTGGTGCATTGTCATCCTGATATACTGTATGGCACCACCTTCAGGATACAATGTTTGAACCATTGGATGCACATKGTCCTCCAGAATGGTTCGGTAGTCCTTGGCAGTGATGCACTCATCTAGCACAAGTATTGGGCCAAGGGAATGCCATGATATGGCAGCCCAAACCATCATTGATCCACCCCCATGCTTCACTCTGGRCGTGCAATGCTTCTTTGGGGCTTTTCCACACCGTAACTCTCCCAGATGTGGGGAAAACAGYAAAGRTGGACTCATCAGAGAACAATACGTTTCACATTGTCCACAGCCCAAGATTTGTGCTCCTTGYACCATTGAAACAAAAGTTTGGCATTGGCATGRGTGACCAAAGATTTGCCTATAGCAGCCYGGCCATGTATATTGACCCTGTGGAGCTCCTGACAGACAGTTCTGGTGGAAACAGGAGAGTTGAGGTGCACATTTAATTCTGCCGTGGTTTTATGTTTTTTGGATACAATCCAGGTTAGTACCCAAACATCCCTTTCAGACATCTTCCTCTTGCGTCCACARTTAATCCTGTTGGATGTGGTTGGTCCTTCTTGGTGGTTTGCTGACATTACCCTGGATACTGTGGCTCTTGATACATCACAAAGACTTGCTGTCTTGGTCACAGATGCACCAGCAAGACGTGCACCAACAATTTGTCCTCCTTTGAACTCTGGTATGTCACCCATAATGTTGTGTGCATCGCAATATTTTGAGCCAAACTGTGCTCTTACTGGTGCAATGTGCAATWAATGAAGACTGACCCCCAGGCTRGTCCAATTTAGMCATGAAACCTCCCACACTAAAAAGACAAGTGTTTCAGTTTCATTGTCTAACCCCTGTAAGTTCAGGCTGAGATTGGGTGAGCTGTGTTAGTACCTGTTGATAAGGTCTTCGTTGTCCTCGCTCTCCATCTCATCTTCGATGGCAGCCTGCAGGTCACCGATGCGTTTAAAGGCCAGCTTCAGGTCAGCCTGTAGGCTCTGATTGGCTGCTTCTAAGCTCTCGATGTCCATCTCCTGTGAATGAAAGCAGAAACAGCGTAAACTCTGCAGCTGGATGGGTCAGACCTCCACCAGCACCGAGCTGATGTCTTCTCCTCAGCTTCCTTCTCACCAGCTCATGCTTTTTGCGGCTCGCTTCAGCCTCCTTCTTGGCCAGTTCCCCCATCTCTTCTTTGATGTCTCGGATCTGTCTCTGCAGACGTTTGTTTTGCTCCTTCTCACGGTTCTCGCTGCTGAAACGCTGGTCCCTGTCTTCTGTCAGCTTTTCCACGTTCTCCTTTAGACGAGCCACCACGTTCTACAAAACATACCAGGTTAAAATAAGGTTTAAAACAGTAAAAACTTTCATCTGTCTGCAGTAAACCTGTAAAAGTTCTGTTTAATAAGCCSTAAAAACAGGTTTATCCACCCTGCTGGATACAGTCCTGACACAGACAGTTAGCCTGTTGATGGTAACGTTCAGAACACTGTTGATGTTTCAGAGATGATGTCACTGAATGACTGCCTGCTTCTGGTTCTCAGTCCTCAGTCTTTAAAATCCTCCTCATGAACCTGTAGTTTTACACCACTGACAATTATGGCATGATCTGAGGGCAAAAATTATGCTATTGGACAACTAGCAGTTGCTTCATCCTTGTAGCAGGAGACTATATCTATTCCTAAGCCAGCTACTGGTCYGATAATAATAGGYCAGCACCGGTAACTGAGAGGCCAGCATGAGCAAATGAAAAGGAGACTATTCATTTGCGTTAGCATGAGAAGCTAGMGACTAGCATGGACAAGCTGGCATTAGTATTGAAGAGGCCTCATCTCACCCAGAAAATTGAAGTTTAGAGAAAAACAGCACCGCTTTCCCCCAACCCAGCCAGTAGATGGCCGCCTCGCCTGAGCCTGGTTCTGCTGGARGTTTCTTCCTGATTAGCAGGGAGTTTTTCCTCTCCACCGTTTGCTCAGGATGGGAGACTGTGATGAAGTGATTCAACACAATCTGCTGGCTTCTTTTTCTTTAGATTGTTCTTTTTTTCATGTACAGTGCCCTGAGACAACGTATGTTGTGACTTGGCGCTATATAAATAAACTGAACTGAAATGCTCTGATCTGCAGTGAGTTTCAGGTACACCCATCAGATCCAGAATGTGCTYAGTAACAAACTCACTGATTAAAACTGATTTTCCTGTTAGAGAGCTGAGGTTTAAAATGCTAGCTTTAATATGCTGCAAACATCAATATTATGCTTTAACTGATACATTTACAAGATCAATCAAACACTTCTGATCTTCTTTTCTATTTCTTATCAATGCCTGGAATGATTCACACACACACACACGCACGCACGCACACGCACACACACACACACACTGCTCTTGTTTTAAATGGAAGAGTTTGAAACAGTAAGTTAGAGGTGTGTTGTTCCATTGATTGTTGCAGTTTTACAGCTGACCCTGGCTCCACTCATGTTAAATACATTCATGTGAGGGGACAACTCTGACTTTTGTGTTGACCTTTTAAATAACCTACAAAGATCTTGTGTGGTCTTAGAGCCCCCCTTGATGCCTCCAAGCAGCAGCTCTGGTCTGTAGTCTCACCTCCAGCCGTTTGACCTGCGTCTTTTCAAACTCCAGCTTTGTCTCCAGCTCCCGTACTTTAGCCTCCTGACGAGTGACGAGAGATTTCTCCACCATGGACTGCTCCTGGAACTCTAGCTGGCTCTGGAGCACTTGCATCTGGACACAAACACACAGACCGACCATATTACAGGATTATGTATGGATGAACGAAGGACATGGGTCGGAGGACACTCAGAGGACGAGACAGAGACAAAAGTCTGTTTTATAAAGCATTACCAACTCAGAGCACAGAAACTCAACCTTTACTTTACATCTGGACTTTTCATGCTTCAGCTGAGAAGCATGATCAAAGGAATATACATGTCTGCGAATGAACAACTGACTGATGCTCCGTGTGGTCACATTACTTCCTCACCAGACATCCACCACCAACAACTCTGCAGCTGTGTGATGTAGATCTTTGCTTTCAACTTAAAGTGGAGTTTAAAAAGAGTATTTCAAGAATCTAAAAGAAGGAGCTGAGACTTGACCCTGTCCTGCAAAAGTTCAGAGAAAACCARAAACAGGTAAGAAGCTTCTACTTCATGATGGTGTACATTCTCAGTCATCCAGGACCAGGGAAGCTAAAAACCCAAACGTAGATTCATTTCTGCAGTTCAACAGATTTAAAACATTTTAAATATGGTTCAGATTGACTACTGGTGACTTTCCTCTCCCTGGGCTGCCACCTTGGTGGAGAGGTTTGAGTGTCCCAATGATCCTAGGAGCTATGTTGTCGGGTTACCCAAGGCAAACAGGTCCTAGGTGATGGATCAGACAAAGTGCAGCCCAAAGACTTCTTATGATGAGTGCCTTAAATGGATTCAGTGTTCCCTCACCTGGACGTGGGTCACTGGGGCCCCACTCTGGAGCACGTTGGCAAGCGCCTGGTGGCCAGGCTTTTGCCCATGGAACCCAGTCGGGCACAGCCCGAAGAGGAGACGTGGGCCTCCCTTTTCATGGGCTCACCATCTGTGGGAGGGGTCAAAGGGGTCAGGTGCATTGTGTGTTGGGCAGTGGTCAATGGTGAGGAGCTTGGTGGTCTGATCCTCGGCTACAGAAGCTGGCTCTTGGGATGTGGAATGTCACCTCTCTCTGGTGGGGAATGAATCTGAGCTGATGTGTGAGATTGAGAGGTTCTAACTAGAGGGGTTGAACACTCTTTCGCTCAGGAGTTGCCCATACTGAGAGGCGCCGAGCAGGAGTGGGCATACTTATTGCCCCCCATCTCGGTGCCTGTACGTTGGGGTTCACCCTGGTGAACGAGAGGGTAGCCTCCCTCCACCTACGGGTGGGGGGACGGGTCCTGACTGCTTGTGCCTATGATCAGTTCAGATTACCCACCCTTTGTGGAGTCCTTGGAGTGGGTGCTGGAGAGCGCTCCTAACGGTGACTCCCTCGTTCTGCTGGGGGACTTCGACGCTCACGTGGGTAATGACAGTGAGACCTGGAGAGGCGTGTTTGGGAGGAACGGTCCCCCCCGATCTGAACCCGAGCGGTGTTTTGTTATTGGACTTCTGTAYTTGTCATGGATTGTCCATAACAAACACCACGTTCAAACATAAGGGTGTCCATATGTACTCTTGGCACTAGGACACCCCAGGCCACAGCTCAATCCATCGACTCAATYTGATCGACTTTGTTGTTGTTTCATCTGATCTGCGGCCGCATGTCTTGGACACTCGGGTGAAGAGAGGGGCGGAGCTGTCAATTGACCACTACCTGGTGATGAGTTGGTTCCGATGGTGGGGGAGGATGCTAGTCAGACCTGGCAGACCCAAACGTATAGTGAGGGTCTGCTGGGAACGTCTGGCTGAGTCTCTTGTCAGACARAGCTTCAACTCACACCTCCGGGAGAACTTTGAACAAATTCTGGGGGAGGTTGGGGACATTGAGTCCGAGTGGGCCATGTTCCATTCTTCCATTGWCAAGGCGGCTTACCAGAGCTATGGCCATAARGTTGTCAGTGCCTGCCATTGCGGCAATCCTCTGACACGCTAGTGGATGCTGTCAGGCTGAAGAAGGAGTCCTATCGGGTCTTTTTGGCCTGTGGGACTCCRGAAGCAGCCRATAGGTATCGGCAGTCCATGCRGAATGTGGTCCGGGTGGTCGCTGAGGCAAAAACTCGGGCGTGGGAGGAGTACGGAGRGGCCGTGGAAAAAGACTTCCGTATGGTTTTGAGGCGATTCTGGTCCACCATCCGGCGTCTCAGGKGGGGAAGTGRTTCACCACCAACACTATTTATGGTGGGGATGGTGCGCTGCTGACCTCAACTTGGGACGTTGTGGGTCGGTGGGCAGAATACTTCGAAGACCTCCTCAMTCCTACCGACATGTCTTCCCATGAGGAAGCAGAGCCTGAGGAYCCTGGATTGGACYCTCCAATCTTTGGTGCCAAGGTCACTGAGGTGGTTAAAAAGCTCCTCRGTGGCAAGGTGCYGGGGGTGGATGAGATTCACTCGGMGTTCCTTAAGGCTCTGGATGTTGTGGGGTTGCGCTGGTTGATGTGACTCCACAATATYGCGTGGACWTCGGGGGCAGTTCYCCTGGATTGGTAGACCAGGGTGGTGGTCCCCCTATTTAAAAAGGGGGACCGCAGAGTGTGTTCCAACTATAGGGGAATCACACTTCTAAGCTTCCCTGGTAAGGTCTATTCAGGGGTCCTGGAGAGAAGGGTCCATCGGATAGTCGAATCTTGGATTCAGGAAGAGCAGTGTGGTTTTCGTCCTGGTCCTGGTCAGCGGACCAGCTCTACACCCTCAGCAGGGTCCTGGAAGGTGCATGGGAGTTCGCCTAATCAGTCTACATGTGTTTTGTGGACTTGGAGAAGGCGTTCGACCGTGTTCCTCGGGGACTCCTGTAGGGGGTACTCAGGGAGTATGGGCTACCAGGCCTATTGATATGGGCTGTTAGGTCCCTGTACCACCAGTGTCAGAGTTTGGTCAACATTGCCGGTAGTAAGTCKGACTCGTTTCCRGTGARAGTTGGACTCCAACAAGGTTGCCCTTTGTCCCCGATTCTCTACATAACTTTTATGGACARAATTTCTAGGCACAGCCAAGGTGTTGARGGGATCCGTTTTGGTGACCRTTGGATCGCATCTCTGCTTTTTGCAGATGATATGGTCCTATTGGCTTCATCAGATCATGATCTCCAGCTCTCACTGGAGCGGTTTGCAGCCGAGTGTGATGCGGCCRGGATGAGGATCAGTGCCTCCAAATCTGAGACCATGGTRTTGAGCCGGAAAAGGGTAGAGTGCCTTCTCCGAGTTGGGGAGGAGGTCCTTTTAAGTATCTTGGGATCTTGTTCACGAATGAGGGAAGAATGGAGCRGGAGATTGACAGGCGGATTGGTGCTGCGTCTGCAGTGATGYGAGYGCTGTATCGGTCTGTCGTGGTGAASCGAGAGCTGAGCCAAAAGGCGAAGCTCTTGGTTTACCAGTCGGTCTACTTTCCTACCCTCATCTATGGTCACGAGCTTTGGGTAGTGACCAAAAGAACGAGATCACGGATACAAGCGGCTGAAATCAGTTTCCTTCGCAGGGTGTCTGGACTCTCCCTTAGAGATAGRGTGAGAAGCTCAGTCATCTGGGAGGGACTCAAAGTAGAGCCGCTGCTCCTCCATGTCGAGAGGAACCAGTTGAGGTGGTTCATCTGGTTAGGATGCCTCCTGGACGCCTCCCTGGTGAGGTGATCCGGGCATGTCCCACTGGAAGGAGGCCCAGAGGAAGAGCCAGGACACGCTGGAGGACTATCTTTCTCGGCTGGCCTGTGAACGCCTGGGAACTCCAAGGCGTTCCCAAAAGGGAAATCTGGGTCTCTGCTTAGGCTGCTGCCCCCGCGACCGACCCCGTATAAGCAGAAAAAAAACGGATGGACGTACGGACTAACTTTTAAAGGATTTTAAATAAATCTTGATAAATTCCTTCTATTTCCTCTAAAAACTACTTCATTTTAAAATAAACTATGGATCTAAAACCAATGAATTCCTATGCCTCAGTCATTTTGTGTGCATGTCTGTTATGTGCACATCATGAACTTTCCAGGTTCCTGGTCTTTGTTGAACTTCGTGTTAAAACATCAGGAAACAGACAAACATGGATTTCTGTTACTTTGACTAATTCAGAATGTTTGTGATGCACACAACTACAACACATTTGATCCTCTATGTCCTGACATGGGAACATGGAGACATGGARACATGAAGATATGGGGAAATGGGGRCATTTGAGGAGAAATMGCTTTAGTAAACAGAACCAAAGTCATGATTTGTCCATTGTACCGTAGAAGAACTCATACAGGTGGTCTCACTGAGCTGAGGTTAGCTGAGTCCTTAACATGGTCAAACATTTTGTGTCCTCTCCTGCTTCAGTGCAGCATATAAGATGTGGATGTTTACCAAACTGTTTCAAACCCTAAAACTATGGAATATCTTCAAGTGTCTGTGTACAGATGATGTTACTGACTCCAGGTAACACTTCATCCCAGGATTTGCAGAGTAACATTTACTGTCTGATTAAAAAAAACAGATTAATTTTGCAGAAGTCATTAAGAGCATGTAATGACATGCTTGTCTGAATTGTATAACCGAGTTGGTCGTCTGTGTCACATATCGGCTCAGCAATCTTCCCTAAGTGACACATCAATTATAAGATCTGTCAGGAGAGTTCTGCAGTGGAAATCAGCCAACGGAGTGCTCTACATTCAGTCTGAGACAGAGCTGCAGCACCAGAAGGACTCTGAAAACAGAGGAGTCTGAGGATAGAGAAGACTGAGGCCAGAGGACTCTGAGAACAGAGAAGTCCTCATCAGGTCATCAGTTGTAGATGTATGTTTTATTCAAAACACCCAGTGGTTCATGAGATATTTTACTAACAGAGAGCTGACTTCATTAGTGAAAAACAGTCTTAAACACATGACTCACTACTGATTACTTTCTGAAAGTTTCATTAAAGTCTGTTCAGTGATTATTAAGATATTTTGCTAACAGTACAGACAAGCTGTGTTTGTGTTTAAATAAAGGTAAATAAATAAATATAAGWTTATATAATAAACACCCATCAGGAGTCTGTGTTACCTTCATCCATGTGTTTGTCAGGTCTCACCTTTTCCTGAACCTCCTGCTTGTCCTTGAGGGCCTCCTCCAGCTGGGACTGCATGTCACTGATCTGGGCCAAGGTCTGGGCCGACTGAGGACACAAACAGGACAGGACAGTGGATGAGGGCATATTTTAGGAATAATTCTTTATAAACACTCAGAGAGTAAAACCTTTAATAATCTGTAACCAAACTCCCAGTCATTCAACTAATAATACTCATTTATACAATAAAGGTTACATGTTTTTAAAGAAAAAGTCACACTTCATGATATGTAATGAGTCCATCTCTCAGCCTGCTTTATGAGATTAAAATTTAATCTGTGGAGGATTACAGCTCTGATAGTTTTCAGTCTTTACATGCTCATGGTTCAGCATGAGGAAGTGGCTGTGATCTGAGTTATTAGGTCATTTTCAAACAKCCAGTCCAGAAGAAGACAGCCTGTTGAGCTGGTGTTGCAGTGCAGGTGAGTGTGGAGGAGACCTGGGCCACGGCAGCTTTGTGCTTCTTCATCAGCTCGTTCAGGTCCTCCTGGTCCTCCTCCATTTTGGACTGCAGCTCGTTCTTCTCTCTCTGCAGGCGGCTCAGCTGTTCCTCAAACTGGATGRCACAACGCAACACAAACAGAGGACAACTTACGTCACATTCACACACAAACTGTGTTTTCTAACAGAAAATTTAACTCTATTGTCCTGCACCATGACACAACTCAACCTGGTACCCTGTACTCTTACATGAAGACTGGAGAGGAAAACTCCCATCATGCCCTCAGGCAACAGGCCTGTTTTATACCAGAACACATTTTATTGTATGAAAAGGATCCAAAGTTCAAACTTTACCTTCAAACATTAATATTTTTTTTATAAAAAAAAAAAAATAGACAGAGAAAAGTAAAATACTGAATAAGATGAAGTGAATTGAGTTTTGTTCCAGCTAAAGTAACTAAACAAGTGGTAATAAAAATAAAGTGTCAGCAACAACAGGAGTGTTAAAATTTCAGTGTTAAACTTTTGGGTGTTGATTTAACACTCAGTTAGTGTTATTTTAACACTTTTTGAGTAAACTGACACCCAGTGTTGGTGTTAAATCAAAGTGTTTATTTCCTCAGTGTTGAATCAACACTGGAAAGTGTTAAATAAGATCCGCCCACAGTTAAGTCTTATATTACACTTAACAGTGTTGTTATAAAACACCATGCAGTGTTGAAAGAAATATTCTCAGTATGGGTCAGTATTTTTGTTGATTTAAAAAAGCATTTGATACTATTAACCATAGTATTCTTTTTGAAAAGTTMAATAAATATGGTATTAGAGGACCTGCATTACAGTGGGTATCTAGTTATTTGGAAAATAGAAAACAATTTGTAGAAATAAATAATGTAAGATCTGAGTTTTGTAACATCTCATGTGGAGTGCCTCAGGGTTCCATTCTCGGACCTAAGTTATTTATTTTGTATGTGAACGATTTGGTAAATGTGTCAGATCTTTTTGGGTGTGTTCTATTTGCTGATGATACAACATTCTTTTATTCTGGTAAAGATGTACATAAAACAAATGTTGGACATGATACAGACAGAAGTTATGAAAATACAAAGTTGGTTTCAACTTAATAAATTATCATTAAACTTGGATAAGACAAATTATATGATTTTCTGTAACAATAAGAGAACTATAGATGCTTCATTTAAAATTGATGATGTTGATATCTGTAGAGTCAGTGAAGTGAAGTTTCTAGGTGTCATTATTGATGAAAAACTAACATGGAAAAATCATTTAAATGGTTTAAGAACAAAAATAGCCAAATCAACTGGAGTCCTGTACAAAGTAAGAGAACTGTTCAATGATAAAGCACTGTTTATGTTGTATAATGCTATAATTGTTCCACATTTAATTTACTGTATTGAAGTCTGGGGTAAAGCTTGTAAAACTATCACAAATCCAATTTTTATTTTACAAAAAAGAGCTATAAGAATTATTGCTAGAAAAAATTACAGCCATCCATCGAATATATTGTTTCATGACTTGAAATTATTAAAATTTTATGATTTGGTTGATTATAATATTTTACTATTAATGTACAGAGCTCATAAAGGTGTCTTACCTTTCAACATTCAAGTAAATTTTGTTAAAAGAGAGAGCTGTTATCATCTTAAGGGAATAGAAATGTTTCAGAAACCTGGGTTTGTTCGGGCCTGAAGGAGCGTTCCACTTTAATCCAGGAAATAAGATTATGGAACAGCCTGGAAGATGAAGTTCAAAATGCCAGACCCTTGTATATATTGAAGAGAATGATAAAAACGAGTATTCTGAAGAAATATGGAGAATTATAAGTGAATTCATGTTTTTTGAATTGATGTCTTTTTATTTTTATTTCATTTTTTAAATGTTTTAAGTTGTTTTGATTTTTGTTGTATTTTTACTTTTATTTTTAAACATTTTTGGGTATAAAAAGGGGCAGATATTATAAGATTTATTCTTCTTCTGCTGCCTTTCATTTTATTTGATTTTATTTTGATTGCATGTTTTTCTGTACTTTAATTTGTGTTACAAATGAAATGAATAAAGAAGTACTACTACTACTACTACTACTACTACTACTATTCTGAAAAGCCCCGCCCTCTTCCACCTCATATCAGACAGAGTAATTCCTCAGCAAGGAATGCTGGGTAATCTAGTAGAAATGATGTGTTTGCATGTTTATGACTATTAAAGGAGTTCATGAGAGAAAAAATGAGTTGTTCTGGTTGTTTTCTTGTTCAGTTTGATCAAGTTGTTCAACTTTAAGTTTGTGTTATTGGCCATAAATCGACACCATGAGTGAGAGGTACTTCCTGGTGAGTGAAGGGTGACTCCATTATACTTTTCTAATGACTACTGAGTGTTAATGCATCACTACAAAGAGTTTGACTTTAACTTTGAGTCATAAATTTACATTCAATTTGATGATGTATTAACACCTTATGGTGTCTGWTAATCTTTTTAACACCATAATTTCCTTTGTTAATAATAATACACTGGTGTTATTTTAACACTGTTGAAATGTAAATGTGACACCAAGAATTGCTGAATATTAAACACCGGCTGTTTACTTTTAACACTATATTTTATCAAAACTATGGTGAAAAGACTGAACAGCTGTAGGGTCACCTGAACTCTGAGTGAAATCATCTCCGTCATGTTCAGAAACCTGTGAAAAATCAGTTTCTTCTGATTATTTCTCTGTTTCTAATAAAACCACTGCCTCTGAGACATGCCAAGGTGCACCTCAGGCACTAAAAATATCTGTAAAATCTGGGGCACGTTCGTTTACATATCACACTTTGCTGTTTTAAATTCATCTCTGAGTGCTGATGAAAGCAAACTGGAGACATTCAGAGAGGACAACGTCCTGTCCTGCTGTCACGTCTCCAAATAATCACAAGACAGAAGAAACTACTGGAGAATTATCTCCAAACTTATTCTTAAATAATATCTGATTCCAAAGGGATTGAAAAAAAAGACGTTTAGTTGTACAGTAAATAAATAACCTAAAAGCAAGGAGAGGACAGAGACAGACCTGTCTGTCCTCTCCTGGATAATTAATGATCTGTACCTTTGACTCAGCACAGAGGACTGAAACTTTTCAAGGTCTATTTCATTCTTTTATAGGCTTCAACAAAATGTTCAAATCAGAAAGTTTCTGTTGGCCTAAAACAAAACAAAACAAAAAAAAAAAAAAACCCTTCAGACTGAGGGACAGAAGGACACATGTGGCAGTGGAGAGGGACAAAAGACACTTTGACCAGTCACTGGAGAACAGGTGACCACAGACACTGAGAATAAACTAAACTAAAAAAGGTCAAGATAGAAAAAAAAATGATTAAAAATAAACCAGAAGAAAGACAGAAAAACCTTATAAATAAGTTGAATCTAGTGAGAGAAGCGTGGGCTGTCCTCTGCGGGTTGACAACACACAGAAAGATGAAGACACGTACCGCCTGCTTAGCTTTGGAGGTGTCCTCCATCTGAACGTGCAGGTCATCCATCTCCACCTCCATGGCTTTCCGAGCTTTAACTGCAGCTGCACACGTGAACTCTGACTCCTCCAGCTGCACAGAGAAAACATCTGTCAGCCAGGCTCTTCACTCTATGAGTCCTGCTGTTGGAAAGTGGAGGGATTCTCTTTATTCTAAGACTCAAAACCAGTCTATCAATTATTATCAAACATTTCAATGCTGACCACAAACTCTGATAASCATCTAACAGACATTTTTACTGGAACCACATGATGGGGTTCAGATATTAATGAAGTCATTTTAGAGGGTTCAAGAAGCGGCACAGTGGAGCAGTGGTTGCAGATGTCACCTCACAGCAGGAGGGTCACAGGTTCACCTCCCACCTGGGAGGACTTTACATGTGTATGGCGTGATGTCTAATTAGGTCACACACATTCAAAATTGGACTGTATTCCTGTAGTGGGGTGGATTAGGGTCGACTATAGTGAATTTGGTGCAGATTGGCTGAAATATGTGGAATTTAGAGCCAAACATGTCAATGGCGTGATGTCTRACTTCGTTGCACAACCATGACCASGCCTTTCACTAAAAAGTCTTTGTGCTTGAAAACAAGTTAGATCAACTTATTATCAGTGTTCTGACAYAGTTTGTTGCTGATCAGGTCAAGAAGGCCAGAGATGGAGCTTTCCATCTGGTCCAAGTGAACTTGATAAAGCGCTATATAAGTTCAGCCCATTTACCATTTTACCATCCGWCAGGGGGCGGGGCTTTGATGATGTAACATAACCACATGGTATGGTCGGACATGCAACATGGATGACTCATAACAAGCGTGGTGTAGTTTAGCTTTCTAATTGAAAGTTACATCTGTCTGAAATTGAAACAGATGGACAGAGGGAGAGCATTTATGTCACCCACCACGGCAGTGGGGGACAAGAATGTTTCTGCAGCAATTCCACCCAGGTTAAACCTGTCTGACTGTTGTACTAGTGGTACAGGATGGTGTTTAGATGGTGCTGGACCTGGTTTTTGAGCTGGGCGATCTCCCTCTTGCTGGGTGCGTTGTTCTTGATGTGGTCCAACATGATCTGAGCATCAGCCAACAGAGCCTTGGTCCTCTTCAGGTCCTTCCTCAAGCGCTTCTCTGTCTCCATGTCTGCACCTTTCTCCTGGAGGACAGGTACAGAGAGGCAGGTGAGTCAGGTCAGAAGTGTGCAACAGATGGTACGTGAAGTGAGATACAAATGGTGTGTGGAGTGTGATACAGATGGAGTGTGGAGTGTGATGCAGATGGAGTGTGGAGTGTGATACAGATGTGTCTGAAGTGTGACACAGATGGTGTGTGAAGTGTGCAACAGATGGTATGTGAAGTGAGATACAAATGGTGTATGTGGAGTGTGATACAAATGGAATGAGTGAATACAGATGGTGTGTGAAGGGTGATAGAAATAGTGTATAAAGTGTGATACAGATGGTGTTTGAAGTAGGGCTGCACCGATTAGTTGAAATAATCGATGACGTCGATTATGTAAATTTGTCGACGCAGATTTTTTATTATCGATTCGCTGTATTACATAACCACCACGTGAATGTTCATGCAATTCCATTTTGGTACCTAAAAGCATCATTGCGACCATATTGGCATAAGAGTGGTGAGTTTTCCATTCTTGTCCTGAACGCAGCATCACACAAGAG